ATTCATGTTACATCACCCCAAAAGGTCTGAGCCATTTCATCATTCATGCCAAGTCCTAAATTTCATTTTTTGAAGCATCTTATGCGACACTCTGGGTGTATTCCTTCCTGGGGAAAAATTTCTTTCCATCTTTGGAGACCTGTGAAAACTGTATTAGAAGTTATTTGCTTCCAAAGTACAATGATGAAAGAGGTATAAATAGACCATCATATTACAAGAGGGAGAAATTGAAGGGAAAGAAGCCATGGATACCAAGAAAGCTAAAACTCCAGCAGGACAAATTCCATTACATCTCAAGCTTGAAAATAATCATTTCTGCTCCAGGCACATCTGGGCACTGGCCTTACCAGCTGAATTCTGAGTGGGGACCTCATGGCTCTGAGCAGTAGCCCCGGTTTGCAATCTCAGTGGGACAGCATGAAAGCTCCACCCTTTGGAACTTAAATGGTAGCCTTACTTTTTAAATGGAAGAATTAGCACCCTTATCACCAGTGCTCCCTTCAATATTCCAGCTTTTCCCTGAACTATCCCAGGATCATCTTTTCCTTTTCTTAGAACACAACAGATTTTTGCAATTGAGAAACTTCATTGGCTAATTTCCTACCAGTAGAATCTGAGGAAGCAGGCAGTTTTCCTTCATTTCTTCCTGTCTCAGTCCCTTTCACTCTGAGCTGACAGGTTGTCTGCTAACATAGTTGATTAGATCCATCAGTCACACACCTAATCTTTTTGTAGCTATACCCTTGTTGTTCTGCCCAGGGCATGCTCCTAATTTTAAAATTAGAATTTTTCAGGTCTTCAACTTTTGGTTTTCTTTTGCATAGTTTATTTCTTAATTTATGTCTTTGGTCATGAATTTTACTATAAATATCAAGGAAAACCAGGCTGCATCTTCAAGATTTTGCTTAGAAATTTCCTCAGCTAAATATTCAAGTGCATACCTTGAAAGTCATACAACTGAATATTTGAATATAATTCAGTCAGTCTCAGTCAAGTTCTTTATCACCTTATAAAAGATTATCTTTCCTATGGTGTTCAATAGGAGCTCTGGTGGCATAGTGCCTAGGGCATTTGACTGCTAACCAGAAGGCTGTTGGTTCAAATCCACCAGACACTCCTTGGAAGGAAGTTTGGGCAATCTACTTCCATAGTGATACTGCCTCGGAAACCTAGGGAGGGGTAACACAAGGAGGGGTCACTATGAGTTGGATCCAACTCCATGGCAGTGAGTTTTTGGTTTGTTTTGATGGTTTCCAATAACTTCTTCATCATTTCCTTTGAAAGCCTCACTAGAAGCACATTATATGCCTGCATTTCTAGCAACATTCTATTCAGGATAATGGAAGCTCTCCCCACAGCTCTCAGTTCTTTCTGATCCCTCATTTGATTCATGCTTATTGTCTATAATTTTACCTATGGTCTTGTTATGGCTATCTAGGTGGGCTCTTATGGTCGAGTACTTCCAAACTCTCCCAGCCATTACCCAGTTCCAAAGCTTCTTCCACATTTTTATGTATCTGTTAACCAGCACCATATTTCTTAGTACCAAATTCTGTCTTAGTTTATGGTGTTTTAGTGACTAAAAAGTTTGATAGGAAATTGAAACAGCTCTGAATACTTGTGATTTCTCAAAACAAACTTCCATCCATCTTCACAGTGCCTAAGGCATTTGACAGCTAACCAGAAGATTGGCGGTTCAAGCCCACCAGCCACTCTGAAGAAAGCAGACTGGTCAATCTACTTCCATAAAGATTTAATGCCTTGGACACCCAAAGGGATTCACTATGAGTTAGAATGAACTTGATAGCAGTGAGTTTGGGTTTTTTTTTTTTTTTTGGTACTTAGTGTTGATAATTATATAAGTTACTACTTTATTCAAAGTGGACTTTTATCATCTTGAAAAGAAAAATTAGCTCATATCATTACAGAGTAGAATATGCAAAGTCATTGTTTCTTTTAACATTCTTAAAAGATAATCAATCTGTAAACCCCACCCCTACAACTGTAGTTTGCTTCTGCCTCTACAACACTACTAAATTTTCAATCCTCACTTGCTAAGAACATTAAAGATTGCCTTGTTTCTATGTTTTATTTTTTATCTGTCCCTACCAATCTGTAAATAAAAAAAATATATAGCCTTTTGTTTTTGATCATTCTAATCTCTTTTAATTTTCCTACTCTTTTCCTGATAACTCAAATCTTTCGTCATCCATAAAATTTTAAAGTTTTATTTTTGGTGAGTTCATCCACTCACATGATTTTACTCATCCTCATGTTGATGACTTCCAAATCTTATTTTCTAGTGAATTCCAGATTCTAATATGTATTTATCTCTTGAAAATCTATTTGAACTTCAACTAATAGTTCAAAGTCAGCATTTCCAAAATAAAATACAGGACTTTCTGTCTCAGAAAAATTACACCTTCTGTTGAAGTCTCTTGCTGGTTAAATGGACCTACTATCCACTCAGTTTCACCAGATAAAAACTTGAGAATCATCAAGTTCTCTCTTTTCTCTTCCTTTTATATCCAGACTATCCACTAGTCTCACCAGTTCTGTCACTTCTGTTCCTCTCTATCTCCCTTCCTCTTTATTCTTTACCAGTTTTGGTCTCTTCCCCTTAATTGTCTCATCCCTTTCCCCATTTGTTCTTTCATAGAACCACCAGAAAATATTCTTTCTGAACCATCGATCTCATATGCCTCTTATTTGTTTCAAAATATTCTGGCTTCCTATTGGTTTCAAGGTATAATTCATAACTATTTAACAAGAATTCCAAAACTCTGAATATGTCTTCAACTTAATCCATCTTTACTCCCCTCCCCTAAGCTCCAATTTCACTGACATACATATTTGAGTTCCCTATATGCATCATTCTCCTTTCACATGTTGCTAGTTATTTCACAGATACTCTTAAGTCATAGCATGTACTTGACTATTTCATACTTATGTTCCAATGCTTGGAATAACTGATGCTTTCTGGTCCTCACAGCCTTTCTTCATTGTCTACTTCTGGATCTGAGCTCCTGTCTTCCATTGTTTGGGTCCCTCTGTAAGTTTGCCAATACATACACACACATACATACATACATAAATGTGTGTGTATGCATATTTATATATAGACAGACAGACAGAGTGATTGAATTACTTCAAGCATGGACTCATGCAGTTGTAGGGGCTGGGAAGTCCATAGGCCAGGCAGCAGACTGGAGACTTTTGCAGTCTTGTGTTCGAAGATCTGTAGGTCAGACAAATGGAAGACTGCACAATGGAGAGAGACAAAGAGGGAATTTTGCCAAAGTATCTACTTAAGGCAAAATACATCCCAAAGAAACTAATTTTTTCAACTGATTATATTACACTAGACTGTACCATGGAAGATGTTTATATCACATTTTGTTAGATCACATTGTAGAATGACAACTACTGCAGTGAAACCTGTGAGAGCCAGAAGTTGATGGTACTCCCTTGTTTTTCTAGGTTTCAAAAATTTTCTGCCTTTAAAAGTGAGGTTTATCACTTTTCTATCACTATTAGTGGAAAATATTTTATTTTCCTTCCCTGATGGTTTCCAACTTGCACAGGTTGTGGATTTCTCAAGTTTTACTGTGTTTGGCTAAACCCCTGCAAACCAAATTGACACAGAAAATAGACCATCACACTTTCCTATATACACTAACAAAAACAGCAAATCCATTTCTGTCCAGCCAATTCTGATGCGTGGTGATCCCATAATTACAGAGTAGAACTGCTTTATAAGATTTTCTTGGCTGTAATCCTTGTGGAAAGGATCCCTGGGGGTGCAGTTGATTAAGTGTTCACTGCTAACCTAAAGGTTGGTGGTTTTAACCCATCCCGTGGCTCCACGAGAAAAAGACCTGGCCATCTACTTACATAAATATTATAGCCAGAAATCTGTTCCAGGGAGTTCTACTCTGTCACATGGAAGTACTATAAGTGGAATCAATTATAGTAATTTATTGACACAGAAAATAGACCATCACACTTTCCTATATACACTAACAAAAACAGCAAACCCATTTCTGTCTAACAACAATGATCTTTATGGAAGCAGATCCCCACATCTTTCTTCTGTAACACCACTGAATGTCTTTGAACTTCCAACCCTTAGGTTACTGCTTAGGTACAAATACTTTGTACCTCCTAAACCAAAAAAAAAAAAAAATTCACTGCCATTGAGTCGGATCCAACTCATAGCAACCCCTCCTTGGGTTTTCGAGGCAGTGTCACTAAGGAAGTAGATTGCCCAACCTTCCTTCCAAGGAGTGGCTGATGGGTTTGAACAGCCAGCCTTCTGGTTAGAGGTCAAATGCCTTAGGTGCTATGCAACCAGATCTCCTTTGCACCTCCCAGGGACTGACATTTTTATATAGCACCTTGCTTTATATCTATTTCCATAGCACAATGTAGCTATCTCATCTCTTGTCTCTCTCTGGATGCATCATTGGTTTTGTTTGTTTAGGTTCTAGGAATGAGCCCTTTATCTGTTTATTCTCAGTTGCTTATTATTGCCTCTATTTGGTAAGTGATTAATACATATTTTGTGAATGAAAGGAAACAAAATTTGATAAATTAAAGAACCATTTCATACTTAAATGATGTTGACAGAAAGAAATAATAAATGTCTCTAATTAAGCATCCTTAATGCAAATAAAAATTACAAAGTCATATTAAAGGACTTGCCAGCCTTTCATAGGAAATACATAAAACTCTTGTGACCTTGTCTTTTGACCAGGAAGGGTAAAGTTACAGTAAGACCCAAGTTAAACAGTGTAAATATATCCTGGTACAGCAAGAACTTTGTTTATTTTCTGAAATATCATGTGCTCTTATATACCAGAAAACTTGTAAACACATGGGTATGCAATGTTCAGGTGATTTCTTTTATTCTGGACACTAAATATGGTTGATGTGATTTTTACCCACTGGAATTTGACTATAAGCCAAGTCATAATACTACGTACTTTTATCCTGAACAGGTATTTGGACCAGACCATCCAGGAAACTACATCAACAGCAGAGCATTCACTGAACAGAGAGAAATTAGCTGTTCTGAAACAATCCCTGACTATAATTGGCTTCAGTAATTTGGTAAGTTATAAATATTTCATTGAGAAAACCAAGTTTCCACCAGTTTATAAGTTATTTATTCAAAAATATTTTACATTCGAGGCATTGTTTCAACACTGATGATTCAGCAGTGAGTAAGACATAGCCCTTGCCCTTATAGAGCTTATATCCTAATGGAGGAAATAGACATAAACAAAAAATTAATATGCTGTTGGTGATAGAAGAAACAAATAGTGAAGGGTGCTATTTTCAGGAAGACGGTTTCTTAAAAGGACCACATGAGCAAAACAGATCACAAGACTTTTATATTTACAGTCAAAAGAGAAAGTGGTTGATATGAAGTAACTGATTAAGAAAAAACACACAGCCATCGGGTAGGTTCTGACTCATAGTGACCCAATAGAGCAGAGAACAACTGCCCCATAGGGTTTCCGAAGCCATAAATCTTTATGGAAGCAGACTGCCTCATCTTTCTCATGTGGATAGCACTTGGTGGGTTCCAACCATTGACCTTTTTGTTAGCAGCCCAATTCTTTAATCACAGTGCCATCAGAGTTCCTTTTGGCAGTATCCTGTCTGATTGGGGAAGGATACATAAAATAGTGTTCACAATCACTTGGAAAATTAATGTTATCACTTTATGAAAATACCTCTTCAAAAAATATAAAGCTTCTTCTCATTCTTAAATAATTACCAAATACTTTGAAATATCAAGGCAAATATTAACATTTAAAATGTTTGTATCAGTGGTGTGCAGTAGAAATTTCTATGATACTGGAAATGTTTTATATCCATGATAAAAAATATAGTAGACCCTAGCCATATATGATACTGGACATTTGAAATGTGGCTTGTATGGCTGAGGAAATACATTCTAATTTTATATAAGTTTAATTAATTTAAGCATAAGTAGTCATGTATGGTTTGGCTACCATCTTGCCCAGCTCAAGTTTAAATACTAAGACATATGAAATAACCTAAGCCTTGAGAAATACTTTCAGAATCGCCACATGTCTCTACTTAGTTCCCTTATGAATTATCTCTCTGTTTTTGCCTCTTTCAATATGGTAGCATGTTTGAAGTACATCTGATTCTTTACCAAGAATTAATATCAGATTGCATGGGTATCTCTGGTACACCTGTACTTCAAGAGCTTAAATTTAGTCACAGATTTAAACATTTTATTTTATTATTTTTTTTTATTTCTTGAATTAATGAGTTGATTAATTGTAGATCTCTGTTTGTTCCCTGTCCACATGGTTTGTTGTTAGGTGCTGTTGAATCAGCTCCAACTCATAGGAAACCAGTGTACAGCGTAATGAAACACTGCCCAATCCTGTGTCATCTCACAATCTTTGCTGTGCTCGAGCCGATCATTGCAGCCACTGTGTCAATCCCTCTCATTGAGGGTCTTCCCCTTTTTCCTAATCCTCTACTTTACCAAGTGTGTAATATTCTTCTTCAGGGACTGATCCCTTATGACAACATGGCCAAAGTACAAGAGATAAAGACTGGCCATTTTCACCTCTAAGGAGCATACAAGCTGCATTTCTTCCAAGACAGATTTGTTTGTTCTTCTGGCAGACCTCAGTATTTTCAATACTCTTCCTCAGCACCACAATTCAAAGGCTTTGACTCTCTTTTAATCTTTCTTATTCATTACCCAGGTTTCACATGCCATTTGAAGGAATTGAAAAGACCATGGCTTAGATCAGGCACACCTTAGTCCTCAAAGTGACATCTTTGCTCTTAAACATCTTAAACAGGTCTTTTTGCAACAGATTTGCCTAATGCAATCCATCATCTGATTTCTTGACTGATGCTTCCATGGGCATTGACTGTGGATCCAAGTAATATGAAATCCCTGACCGTTGTGATCTTTTCTCCATTTTTCAAGATGTTGCTCATTGGTGCAGTTGTGAAGATTTTTTGTTTTCTTTATAGTGAGGTGCAATTCATACAGAAGGCTTTGGTCTTCATCAGTAAGTGCTTCAAGTCATCTTCAGTTTCAGTAAGCAAAGTTGTGTCATCTGCATATCACAGGTGTGAATGAGTCTTCCTTAAATTCTGATGCCACATTCTTCTTTGCATAGTCCTGCTTCTCCGATTATTTTCTCAGTATGCAGATTGAATAAGTATGGTGAAAAGATACCACCCTGGCACACATATATCCTTGTTTTAAGCCATGAAGTATCCCCTTGTTCTGTTTGAATGATTTCCTCTTGGTCTGTGCACAGGTTCATCATGAGCACAATTAAATGTTATAGAATTCTCATTCTTTGTGATGTTATTCATAATGTGTTATGATCCACACATTTTAATGCCTTTGCATAGTAAATAAAACATAGGTAAATATCTTCCTGATATTCTTTGCTTTCAGCCAGGATCCATCTGACATCAGCAAAGAGATCTCTTGTTCCATAGCCTCTTCTGGCTTGAACTTCTGACAGTATCCTGTCAATATACTGTTGCAACATTTTTTTTAAATTATATTCAGCAAAATTTTACTTGCATGTGATATTAATTATATTGTTCAGTAATTTCCACAATCTTTTACATCATATTTCTTTGGAATGGGCACAAATATGAATTTCTTTCAATCAGTTGGCCAGGTAGCTGTCTTCCAAATTTCATTAACATAAACAAGGAAGTGCCTCCAGAGCTGCATTTGTTTGTTGAGACTTCTCATTGGGTATCCCATCTATTCCTGCAGCCTTGTTTCTCTCCAGTGAGTTCAGTGCAGCTTGGATTTACTCCTCCAATACCATTAGTTCTTGATCGTATGCTGCCTCCTGAAATAGTTAAACATTGACCACTTTTTTAGTACAGTGATTCTGTATATTCCTTCCATCTTCTTTTGATGCTTCCTGAATTGTTCAAAATGTTACCCATAGAATCCTTCAATATTGCAATTTGAGGCTTGACTTTTTTTCTTCAGTTCTTTCAGCTTGAGTTGAAATGCAGAGCATTTTCTACTCTTTTGGTTTTATAATTCTAGGTTTGTACATTTCATTGTACTTCTTTATTTTGTCTTTTTGAGTCACTCTTTGAAATATTCTGTTCAGCTCATTAACTTCATCATTTCTTCCATTCTCTTTAACTATTATTCATTCAAGAGAAAGTTTCAGAGTCTCCTCTGACATCCATTTTGGTCTTTTCTTCTTTTCCTATCTTTTTAATGACCATTTGCTTTTTTCGTGTAGGATGTTCTTGATACCATCTCACAACTCATCTTTTCTTCAATCATTGGTGTTCAGTGAGTCAAATCTATTCTTCAGATGGTCTCTACATTCAGGTGGCCTATAATCAAGGTCATATCTTGGCTCTCATGGACTTATTTTAATTTTCTTCAACTTCAGGTTGAACTTGCGTATGAGACATTGCTGGTCTTTTCTACAGTCATCTCCTGGCCTTGTTTTGACTGACGATATTGTGCTTCTCCTTCACCTCTTTTCACAGATGTAGTCAATTTCATTCCTGTGTAGTCCATCTTGTGAGGTCCATGTGTATAGTCACTGTTTATGTTGTTGACAAAAGGCATTTTCAATGAATAAGTTGTTAGTCTTGCAAAATTCTACCATGTGGTCTCCAGTGTCATTTCTTTCACCAAGGTCATTTATTAATGGTTCTTCTTTGTTTCCAATACTCACATTCCAATCACCAGTAATTGTCAATACATCTTGATGGCATGTTTGGTCACTTTCAGACTGCAGAATTTGGTTAAAAATATTCAGTTTCTTCAACTTTGTCTTTAGTGGTTGGTGCATAAATTTGAAAAATAATAGTATCAAGTAGTCTTCTTTATAGGCATATGAATATTATCCTGTCACTGACAGCATTGTACTTCAGGATAGATCTTGAAATGTTCTTTTTTGGCAATGAACGTGACACTACTCCTCTTCAATTTGTCATTCCTGTCATAGTAGACTGCATGATTCTCAGATTCAAAATGGCCAATTCCAGTCCATTTCAGCTCACTAATATCTAGGATATCAATCTTTATGTGTTGCATTTCATTTCTGACAACCTACAATTGTTCTAGATTCACACTTTGTCATTCCTCATTCTGATTATTGATGAAAATTTGCAACTATTTCTTCTCATTTTGAGTCATGCCCCATGAACAAATTAAGGTCCCAAAAGGATGAAGGTCCATACCTTAAGTTTGACTCTATCTTGAGGAAGCAGCCCTTCCCCAGTCATATTTTAAGTACCTTCTAACCTGAGGGGCTCATCTTCCAGCACTATATTGGACCATGTTACATGGCTTTTCATAAAGTTTTCCAGTAATATATCTGACAATGTTTCACTGCTATTCATAAGATTTCCAGTGGTCATTTTTTTCAGAAGCGCTTAGCCCCATCTTTCTTTCCATCTGTCTTAGTCTGGAAGCTCACTGAAACCTGCCCACCATGCATGACTCTGCTTGTATTTAAATACCAGTGACATCGCTTCTAGCATCACAGCAGCGCACAAGTTACCACAGTACAACAGACTGACAAACAAGCTGTCCACATAGGTATAAATAATAAGGCAGTGAATGGGCAGTGAAGAGAGAGAAGTTAGCAAAAAGGTGAGGGTTGAGGAGATAGGAAACCTGTTGCCATTTAGTCTATTCCAACTCATAGAGACCCTATAAGAGAGAGCATAATTTCCCCATAAGGTTTCCAAGGTAGTAATCTTTACAGAAGCAGACTATCACTTCTTTTTCCTGTGGAGTTACTGGTGTGTTTGTTATCTCTGACCTTTCAGTTAGCAGCTGAGCCTTTAAGTGCTGTGTCATCAGGGATCTTTGGAGGAGATAAGGAACTCACCCTAAATGAATTATTTCTGGAGAATTTTGCTTCACTCCATCCTCAGGCTAATCAGAGAATGAAATTCTAGGAATTTGAAGTCATATGATATCTAGTTCTATTTTGCTTTCATTATCCACTGTCTTTCTCAACTAACGCCTATCTTTTTGCTCAATGCTGGCCTTAACACTTGCTGCTGCTTCTTAAAAGGCCCATATGAGCAAAGCAGATCGAAAGACTTATGCTTTTACTTTCTTTCCTCCCTCTATAACTAAAATTTCTGTTTCTTTATTGAAAATTTGGGTACAGGGATTGGTAAGGAACAATTCTACCAAAATACCACTTACTTGGAGACAAAACTCTCTGTAATTGAGCCAACTCCAACTCTTAGTGACTGTACAGGACAGAGTAGAACCACCCTTAGGGTTTCCAAAGATGTAAAGCTTTACAGAAGCAGGCTGCCTCATCTTTCTCCTGTGGAGTGCATGGTGGGTTTGAACTGTGTACCTTTTGGTTAGCAGCTGAATGTTTGGAGACAGGGATTTAAAGGTCTATGACTGATTCTCAAAGGCAGGGCAAGCAATATATAACTTCTGCCTAAGTTCACTAAAAGGAGCTCTGGCAGCATAGTGTATAGAACATTTGGCTGTTAACCAAAAGGTCAGTGGTTCAATCCCACCAGCTGCTCTGCAGATCCATAAAGATTTATAGCCCAAGGAACACAATGGGGTCACAATGAGTTGGTATCGACTCGATGGCAGTGAGTTTGGTTTTAAGGTAACTAACAGTTGATCTAATAACCTTTTTGGTAAAAGAAATGTCATTTTAACAAAAGATGTAAAGAGAATCCTTTCATCTTTATACCTTGTAGTGATGGAATCATGACAATTTCTGTCTATATAAGAAGGATACTTTATGTTCAATAAGATTTGAAAGATGTTAGGGGCTGGTGAGGCTCTTGGATCAAAATTTGCAAGGTATTTTTGTGGTCCTGGGCAGAAAGGAAAGATACCTCTACTTACACTCTATCACTGCCACTATAACTGTGCCACCAAAGACAGAGAATTAGTGCTCACTACAAATAGACACTGACAATAATAATACCCTCAGCCTTGTGCTCACAGTCATTTATTTTTGCTTCTATTTTAGACTTTACCACATAGTAATCTACATTATAGTCCGTTTTTATAGTTCTGTCTCTGACATTAAATTGTAAGTTTTTTTAAGGAGAGAACAAATTCTAGTTCTTGTTTGTGTAACCAGAGGTGCCTATTGTACAACATTAGAATATTTAATGAATTATTAGAATTTTTAAAAATTGTCAGGTAGCTTTAGAGCCTAGGAAAATGGCTATTCTATGAAATATTAATGAATAGAATTTGAAAGACTAATAATTGAATTTGGGGTTTCCACAAACATTTTGAATAACAACACAGTCATAGAGTTTTATAGGTGGAAATTACATAGAGATCTTTCTTTTCAACCCTCTCATTTTACAGATGGTAAAGTCAAACCTTATGATGAAAATGAGAGGTTCTGGAGAATATTTGTCAAAGTCTCAAGGATTTTAACTTTTATTTGTAAAGCATATAGGAGTTGCTCTTAGAACAATTCTCAAAATTGATCTTGGCTAGGGTTTATTTCCTCAGAAGGAAGATTGGGCAATCTACTTCTGTAGTAATATCGCCTAGGAAACCCAAGGAGGGGTCGCTATGAGTCGGATCTGACTCAACAGCAGTACAGTTGGTTTTTGGAGGGTTTATTTATTCCAAAATTATAGACTAGGAAACTGAGATTTTCCTTATAAGTGTAATGCTGTTGAGAGCACCACACTAAATATTTATTATTTTAGAGAAGCATATTTTAAATTAAAGCCATTTTGTGATTTTTTTCATTCTTGCCAGAAAATGACTGCCCAAAACCAAATTTGAGGTCTAATTTCTTTCTTTATGCAGAGTTCCAGATTCTCAGACATTCTCTCTCGGCAAACATTCTCTCACTTCCTGCTACCTTCTGCTCAAAGATAATGCTTGCCAACATCCTTTTTATTTTTCCTGAGTTTTCCTCAAAACACCTTAAAAAACAATTACCATTTTGTTTATCTAGGCATAAATGTTTGCATTATGCTGCACTTAATTTTTCAGAAATAAAAAAAATTCCATAACAATAATATTACTTCTTCTCATAAAAGAGATAGCCAGGAGATGCGCATGATCTATGTTCCCTAATGAAGTAGCCACAGTGGCTGCAAACTCTGATTAGACTCTCTTTACAGTTCTACCTCAATCTGAGAAGAGGTGTATAAATACTGATCACACATGTGACATCCAGCCAGTACACCATAGTTTTTATAGTAATTGACTTTGCATAATGTAGAAATTGTTAACTTATATCAGAATATCATCTAAATTGTTAACTTATATCAGAATATTATCTTCTTGCTCTCATTTGTTTAAACCCTTTCCTGACCTGTGGGAAATAAAAGAGCACTCGTGGTATAGTGTCTAAGGTATCTGACTGCTAACCAGAAGGTTGACAGTTTAAACCCACCACCAGCCCCTCTGCAGAAGGAAGACTGGGCAAACTACTGCAAAGATTTACATCCTCAGAAACCCAAAGGGGATTGCTATGAGTTAGAATTGACTCAATGGCAGTAAGTTTGTTTGTTTGGGTTTGAGGGTTGATGAGATAGCTGCTTTTCCAGTAACAGTACATACTCCCTTCCTAAGGGGCCTCTATGGCTATTTGAAATGAAAAGAGGTACGTGCTACTGTTTTTTACAGGATATTGTGTGAGGTGGTGCATCCTGGACATGTGATTTTGCAAAATTTTTGTCTTTTTTTTTTTTTTTTTTTTTACTGGAAATAAGCTTTGCCAGTATATTTTCAGATTCCTGTGTGCTATTTAAGGAGTACTGATGGTGCAGTGGTTAACATATTGGCTCCTAACTGAGAGATTGTTGGTTAGAACTCACTAGCTTCTCTGTGAGAGAAAGATATGGCAATCTGCTTCCACAAAAGTTTATAGCCTTAGAAACCCTATAGGGCAGTTCTATTTTGTTCTATGTAGTTGCTTTGGGTCAAAATTAACTAGATGGCAATAGGTGTGATTTTTTGGTTTTGTATGTGTGATTTGGAAGTTGCTTTTTATGCAATGATTCTAAGTTCATGGGAATACTGCATTTTCAGGTGCCCTAAATTGCATGCACCTGTCAAGGGATCGAGATGAAAGTGCAGAGTCCAGAGGAACATAGGTACCCCACTAAGAAGGGATTAGTCCCTGAAGAAGGATATCATACTAGGTAAAGTAGAGGGTCAGAGATAAAGGGGAAGGCCTTCATTGAGATGGATAGACATAATGCCTGCAGTGATGAGCTCAAGCAGGGCAACATTTGTGAGGATAGTGATAGACCAGGCAGTGTTTCATTCTGTTGTACATAGGGTCACTATGAGTCAAAACCATCTTGATGGCACCTAACCACAGCTTAAGTCCCACTCTCCAGAGTTAAGAGAGACATATGTGTTCCATATAACTTTATCCCAGAATCCAGAGTAACAAGGGTTTTTCCCATATTCTTACCCCATAGTCAAGAGGTACATATGTGCCCTGCATAATCCTCCCTAGAGTCCAGAGGGACATATGTGTCTCACATAATATGTATACAAATTAAAATTTTATATCAAAATTTTGGAAAAGCTCCTTGATTCAGCATGTTTACCATTAATGAAAACTCATGATATCAACAAAAAATTCAAAGTGGAAAATAACTGGGTCCTGAAAGGGTTATTAAGGAGCAGAAGCATTGATTTAAAAGAAATGTGTATTAAGAAATGTGTAATTAAGAAGCTCTGGTGGTATAGTGGGTAAAGCTGACTAGAAGGTCAGCAGTTCAAACCCACCAGCTTCTCCATAGGAGGAAGATGAAGCAATTTATTTCTCTAAAGATTTACAGCCATGGCAACCCAATGGGAGCCATTATGAGTCCAAATCAACTCAATGGCAGTGGTTTTGTTTTTCTGGTTTGGTGTATTGAATTATGAAATGTTAACATTCTTCAGATATTCACAGTTCTCTTTTCAAATATCTGGGCTCTGAAAAATGAGCACCCTTCAAACTGTGTATTGTTTTAATCTATTTTTTGGTTCTTAAAGGGTTTATCTTCCTATCTCTTTTCTAAGCCATTCTATTTATTTTCTCTATTTGTAAAATGTGTAGGAGGTGGAGAATCTGTTTGTGATTCTAGCAGCAATACTACACATTGGAGACATTCAGTTCACTGCTCTGACAGACGCTGATTCAGCATTTGTGTCTGACCTTCAGCTTCTGGAACAAGGTCAGTGGAACATGACCTTCTGACATTAACCTCATTGATGTGCTGTTTTCAAAGTGGCCAGTAGATGGAGACATACTACAGACATACTGCAAAATCTGATAGACGAAATCTTTTCTTAAGGGGCAGATCAAGGATGAGGAAGAAAAACAAAAACAAAATGTGTATATCCACTTTGTTCTTCTTTATTATTAATTTCTATTAGAATAAAGAAAATGAACATTTTTCGAGGGGTTTGCTGTATGAAAACATAAAAACACTATAATCTAGATAATATGGCAAGAATAGAAAAAATAATCTGTGAAGTATGTACAGAGTACAAAACCTAAGGCCCGAGTATTCATGAAAATATGATAAAGGGCAATTCAATGCAGTGGGAGATAATGATTTAATAAATGGTGATGGTACAAATAGCTACACATCTGAATAATAGAGATACCTGCCACATACAAAAATAAAATAAATTTCTTTTTTTTAAAATGGACAAACATGAAGAGAAAATTCATGAAAGAATGTATCCAAATGTCAAATAAACATTAATAAAGGCTGAACCTCCCTAGTGATCTGAATAATTCCAAGCATTATTATTAATTATTATTCAAAATAATAGGTAATAAAGGGAAATTGATATACAGTCATTGCATGAAACTTACTTTGAATTCTCTCTAACAGAGTACCCATTCTTATACAAAAGGGGAAAAATTTCAGTGACCCAACTCTGCCACCACAGTTTACCTTATCGTATTGTAGAACTACATTAGCAGCATTGATTCATCCACTTATACTTAAGTTTATATATCTTGTTGTAAATATTTTCTACCTTGTCCCTGCCACTCATTATATTTTGGTTGTATGTTATTACTTAAAAGTATTAAACAAAATATAAGATAAAGATCTTGCCAAAAATCTCTCTTTCCTTTGACGTTTCCTTGTTAGTCACTCCCAGATTTCTTCAAAATACCTTAAAACCGGACTGTCAATAAACAACATATCTTTCCTTGATATCCAAGTAATCTGATCAAGAAATGAGAGCAACATTCAGTGCTATGCCAGGGCAAGGAGGAAAGAACCTGTTGTGATTTAAGCCAAAGAACCACAAGAGCTCATTCGTGTTTTGATTACTATTAGCTGTTTCTCTAGCTGAATTTGACAATGACAGTGGTAGTTTATTTTTCTCTAATATACAAATTTTCTAATGTCTATATAAAAGTTATAAATTATAACCATAATACACAATTCTTACTCTCAAAAATATACTAACTTTGCATTTTCAATTCTGCTTTAATTTTAGTAGCTGGCATGTTACAAGTATCAACAGATGAAATGGTGTCTGCTTTAACAACTGATATTCAATATCTTAAAGGTAAGCTTTTCAGTGCTCTGATTTTCACCTTTCTGCAATTTGTGACCTTCTCTGAAATATGGGAACGAAATGTGACTTCGCTTTACTCTGCCCAGGGAAATTATTTCTCAGAAATGAATGTCAAATGAGAAAATCATCATAAACCTATTTGATATTACCCTATATTGTAAACTATTTATGTTCTTGAGAACTCGTTTTGAGTAACCGGTCACCTTTTCTACCTAATCAGTCCTTTGAGGAAAAAAATCATCAGTCCCAGAGGATTTATTCAGTTGAAAATCAGTTCCATTTCTTTCTGTGGTTAATTGAGCCAAATTTCTCCCACTACCTCATTGATCACAATAATAGCTGGATTTCAGGAATTTTTAATATAATTGTGTCAAATGCTATATGTGTTATATATTTTACTTCTCATAAATCACTATAAAGTGGGCATAATTATTTCCATATTAACAAATGAGAAAGCTAAGAAAGATTCAAAGTGTTTAAATAACTTTAAATGTCAAAAACAAACCAAACCAAATTCACTGCCATCAAGTCAGATCCGACTCATAGTGACCCTTCCTTGGGTTTCCAAGGCGGTATATCTGCAGAAGTAGATTGCCTAACCTTCCTTCCAAAGAGCGGCTGGTGGGTTTGAACCGACAGCCTTCTGGTTAGCAGTTATATGCCTTAGGCACTATGCCACCAGAGCTCCCTTTAAACGCCAAATCACTTGTAAATGGTATACTTGGAATTAGAATCCAATGCTATCTGATTCCCAAGTTCACATGCTTAACCACTGGCTGTATGTTTCTCTACTCAATGGGCAGGAGAATGGCTCTCCTACATTGTCATCAAATATTCATTATAAATCATTGCCTAAACAACCTGTTTATCATGATTTTGAGGTCTCACCATCCAGGTGAACATTTTTCTCTAAATTTCACCATTACTCTTAACAGTAAGGAAGCTCAAATGGTGCATTTGTTAAAGCATTAGGATGCTAACCCAAAGTCAGCAGTTCACACCTACTGGGTAGTTCACACCCAGCAGGTGGTTTGACCCCACCAGTCACTCTTTGGGAGAAAGATGTGACAGCCTACTTCCATAAAGATTTATAGCCCTGGAAACCCTGTGGAGCAGTTCTTCTCTGTTCTGTTGGGTCACTGTGTCAGACATATGCCAGTTGTACCCATAAACACCTCTCAAGCATACTGCCTTCCTATCATCTCAGTTGCCATTGTCTTAGTCAATCATTCCTTTCATGGGCCATAGCAAGAACCTCCTGGCTGGTCTTCTATCTGGTCTTACCCATTTTGCCTTCTATCCCCACTGCTTCAAGAATGCTCTTTCCTGAATTGCAAATAGGATTTTTATCCCTGGATATCAGTCTCCAAAAATATTCCAATTCCCTTAGAATGAAGTCCATCTGTTATGATGGCACAGTATGTCCTTTAGTTACCCCTGGGTGGAACAAACAGTTAAGCACTCAGCTACTAGCTGAAAGGTTGGGGGTTTCACTCCAGCCAGAGATGGCTTGAAAGACAGGCCTGGTGAGCTGCTTCCAAAATGTCCCAGCTTCGAAAACCCTATGGAGAAGTTCTCTGCACACCTGGGGAATCAACTTCATGCCAGCTAACAATAATAGAATGCCCTTTATTATTTGGACCACACCTAACTTTTATGCTTCATCTGCAGCCATTTTCCCATAAGCACTCTTGCATCTAAACATACTAAGCTTCATGAAGTTCTCCAAATACATTATTCTTTCTCATGACTTTTCTGTGAAAAATTTAACTCACTATCAACATGAATAACTTAATATATGCTAGCAGCCCCCAGACTGTCCTTTGCCCCTTACCTACCCACAATATTGATATATTCATGACCCATTAGGACCCCTCAATCATCTTCACTCTAGGGACCTGATTTTCTATATAACCATAATTGCCACACGTGCTTTCACTGCCACATTTTGTTGATCCACCTTGATGGCCTTGAACTTATAACTCTCTCACTCATCATTACTTCCTTGCTTTGACCTCTGCTACTCTCGGAATCAATTCTTCTTCCTCAAATTGATTGATAACTGACTCCACTTTCATGTCACACAGTCATGATCCTATTACATGATGCTTCTCTGCTCAGACTGAGATGCAATAGTTAGCCAGTTCAACCAAGGTCTCACTCATTTCTACACGCCCATTTCCTCTCACATTTCTTGCTGTTAATTCTTAATCATCCTCAATCTTTTTGTTTGTTTTCCTCTGAAGAGCCTATCACTTAAGGTTTCAGTTACCATCTCATTAAGAATGACATAAAAATTTCTAACTTAGGGCCTAATCTTGGTTCTAACCTCCAAACCCACATTTTGATCACTAAGTGACCAAGTTTCCAAATGACTTCAGGTTTTTCAATACCCAGATCAGTTGATTGTTGTTCAGAAAGCTTGCTAAGAGGAACCCTGCTGGAAGTTTGGGTAAACATTTGTTATAAATAAAATTGCAATGTATATAGCACTTGTTTTCAGAGAACTTTTATACAAAAAAAATGATAGAAAAATTCACATTTATTAGAATCATAATAAAATTATTTTTTACATCCTTTGATAATATGTGCATGTGTAAAGGATAAAAGAATGTAGATAGTTTTATTTGCTTCTAAGTGAGGAGAGCCCTATTCTGATATCTTTTCCCCCTTCTCTACTATTTTAGGAGATATAATCATACGGCGATATACTATAAAGATTGCTGAATTTTACCGGGATCTCTTGGCCAAGTCTCTGTATAGTCGTTTGTTTAGTTTTTTGGTGAATACAATGAACTGTTGCCTTCACAGTCAAGATGAGCACAGCAGGTAGGAGATGATTGAATGCTGGCCCTTACAGTAATTCCTGTTATAGCCAATGCAAAGGTTCAATGTTTAAAGATACTTCATAATGCATTGTGACCCATAATTAAACTATCATTAAAACATTTAATTTTAACAGGTGATATTATTTTAAGGACTTAGTTCAATTATTTTTCAGGGATTTAAGTCACCCCACACACCACACATATACCACACACACAATCCATAAATTAATCCAATCATCTTTCATGCATAAATATTAAGACCACCTCTCTCTGGACTGAAGGTATATATGATCATTTATATCCCAAAAGGCATCAAAAATTTATAAATCTTAGAAGAAAACTGGTGATAGTACAAGAATATCTAAAGCACTCAAGTTTGTAGAGTATTCTGTATTTCTTTCAGAATTTATTTGATGACATATTTCAAATCTGTATCACTTCCTCTTGTTTTCTTCACTTATTTTGTGGATCATTTCACAAAGGGTCTCTATGGTAATTGTTTTGGCTCCTAGCTTTTATCATCTTTAAGCAGTAGCTCTTCAGGGCTATTTGATCATTTGAAAATTATAGCTCTCCATGGCATTTTGTCAATGGAAAACTTTGTTAATATTCTTATCACTAATAATGACCTTGGAACAGACTACCGAAAATAACATTGCTTTTTTACACATATGCTTGCCTTTGAATGAAACGTTTTCAGAATTTCTTTGATATCCACATAGATTCTGCACCAAATTCCTGAAAATTGCTGCTATTGGAGGTTTTCTGAAAAACATTATAACTAACTAGCATGTATTCTTAAGTAAATGTAGACATGTCAGTATATTTCAAGGGCAAAGAGACATTAAAATACTCATTAAGATATCCACATATAAAATCCCATTGCATATTGGTCAGCATATTCAATATATACTCTGTGACTTGAGGGTAGGTATGGAATTATCTATATTTAAGCAGAAATACTTTACTAGTTGGGATAATGAGTATGCTTGATTTTGTTACAATTTCTCCTATCAATTAATTTTTTTATTTTCCTTTAATGATGAAGATTATTCACAGAAGGGTACTAATATGCAAAGTCTACCACATTAACTTTGTATAAAATTATTGGTAGCTCTGTCGAAATTCACTTTGGAAAGAATGATATGTAAATCCAGATACACATAAAAGTTCTTTGAAAATTTCCATTTGGGATTTAAATATATAAGATCCTTAAGTTTATATAACTGGAAATACTTATATGTGGTCAATATGTACTCATTTATAAATAAAACTACAAAACATGAACCTTGGAAAACAAATTATTTCCTTTTCAGTGGGCTATCTAGGTCAATATGTAAATTTATAGGAATTACAAGACATTCATCTTAACTTTTAAAATTATTTACAAAGCAGATGGAAGAGAACAAGAACCAGTGGGAAATTAGAATTGCATCATTGTATCATAAATTCATGTTACAAGACACAGTATTCTCATTTTATATTTCCCATCTATTTCTCCCATGAGTCACCCAAACAGAAGTTTAGATTCCCAAATCACGTCAAAAAAGATTACATTTTCATTAAGTCAGTCCCCAGGTTATGAATGAGATCTGTTCTTAAATGTGTCTTTCGACTGAAACTATACGTAAGTCAGAATGGTGCATATAGTTCTTATTTAGTCTTACATTAGTGTAAGAAAAGAGCTCTGGTGGGTCAGTGGTTAAGGCATTTGACTGCTGACCTAAAGGTCAACAGTTCAAACCCATCAGCTGCTCTGCAGGAGAGGAATAAGACAGTCTGCTTCCATAAAGATTTACAAAACCCTTGGAAATTCTATGGGTTAGTTCTACTCTGTCCTATAGGGTCACTATTAGTTGGAATAGGCTTGATGGCAGTGGGTTGTTTTTAGTGGTTAGTGTAAGAAAAGGCTTGAAGCCTGTGGTAGTTCAGTTTGTGTGTCAACTTGGCTGGGCCTGGTTGAGTGGCTGGGCAGCTAGATGTAGTATGCCCCATGATGAGACTGGTGATAATCAACTCCATGGTGGAATTTACTGTGAGCAGCTGAGTAGCTGCCTTAGGGAATGTGGTCTGTTTCCTGTATATAAGCAGAAGCCTTGGGGAATCGTCTCTAGCCTTTGGCACTCTTGGACCCTGCATGTAGACTGCTATGTTCTGCTGACCTTGGGACTTACAAGGGACTTAAGTTAATGGCCTGCCATGTGGATTGGTAACATCGGGACTGTGCCTTTTTACTTGTCAACCTCAGGGCTTCTCAGCCTCAGCAGCCAGCAGCTGACTGAGTGAAGAAACACCTCTAGCTCCAGTGGGCCAGGAGCAGGAGGCAGAGCTGAAGCCCAAGGCTGAGGGGCTTTCACCCAGCCCTTAAAGCCTGGCACTTTGAACTTGGACTTAAAGCCTCCAAATTGTAAGAATAAACTTCTATTTGTTAAGGCCATTCCATTTGTGGTATATTCTTGTCAGAGTGGCACTAGGTAACCAGAACAAAGCCTTTTCAGTTACTTACAAATTGCACGTTCAGCAAGTGAAGGTAATTACGATGAAAAATTTGTTTTGAGTAGGGGTTGGTTCAGTCATTTCAAAGTGAGAGCAAATGTCCATACTTTAAAGGGCAAGTAGGAGTTGTCTGTAAGTCTGACATTCATGACTCAGGGACTTACTGTCTTTCTGACTTATTGAAATTCATGGAAAGTTTAAGGTTTTCCAGATTTACTGACCCATTTCCTTAGTCACAGAAAGGTCTCAAAAATCTGGATAACCTTACAATAGGCTTTTTGTTGTTTACTCAACCCCATTTTTCTTTTAATTCTAAAATTATATCAGAAAAGATTATTTAAAAAAAATATCCATATGGTTAAAGTCAGCAAGCAATAATGATGTTGATGAAATAGGAGTGTTTTTCACACTATACATTTTGTAAATTTTGCCAGAGAGAATAACTAAAAATAAGATATGGTCTAACAAGTTATAAAGGGAAGACAAGTGAAACTGAAGTACATGAAATTTTTGTACTTTGAGTACTTGGATTAGAGCAGAATCAGTTAAATAATAATATCAATAAAGACATTGGATGTGAAAAATTATAATTTCTCTACTAGATTACAAACA